GTTGTTGTTGGTGCTGCTGCTGTTGCTGCTCCTATTGCTGTTGCTGCTGCTGTTGCTGGTATAGGGTTTTAGGGCTTAGGGTCTACGGATCAGGGTTTAGGGTCAAGGGTCTAGGGTTTGGGGTTTAGGGTTTAGGGTTTAGGGTTTAGGGTTTGCAGGAGTCGGGGCGGGCGGGGCGAGACGGAGAGGAAGCGAGCTGCATTTTGCTGTACGACTATCATGATAAGCAACGCCAAACCTTTCTTATGCAGGGCGGCAGGTAAACCCTAAACCCTAAACCCTAAACCCTTCTAAACCCTAAACCCTAGGCCATCCTATACCTTAAACCCTAAACCCTAAACCATCATCTACCCTAAACCCTAAACTATTATATATTCTAAACCCTAAACGCTAAACCCTTAACGTAAACCCTAAACCCCCCTATACCCTAAGCCCTTAACCCTAAACCCTAAAGCTCGTGGATGCAATAATCAAAGAAGTGCGCAAACAAACGAACAAAAGTCTCATCTAGCTAGATAGCTAGCTAGCTAGCTAGCTAGCTAGCGAGGCGCCAAAGTAGTTAGCTAGCTAGCTCGTCACCTAAACAGCTAGCTAGCTAGATAGCTAGCCGTCTAAATATAATAGCTAGCTACCTCGCCACCTACGTACCTACCTAGCCAGCTAGCTAGCTACCCAGCTACCTAGCTGCCTAGCTAGCTACCTAGCTAGCTACCTCACCGCCTAGCTAGCTAGCTAGTTAGCTAGCTAGCTAGCTAGCTAGCAAGGTATAGTGTAATGGGTTTGCTGCATGCAGCGAGGGACGCAGTGGGGGGAGAGAAAGTCAGCAAAACGAAGAAGATTTGCTGCGGATGCTGGCTTACTGTGAAGAGCTGTTTGAATGCAGACGAAAATTTATCTTGAGGGTTTGTCTCCTTTTTACTTGCTGTCTCCTTCTGTCTCCTTTTTACTTGCTGTCTCCTTCTGTCTCCTTTTTACTTGCTGTCTCCTTCTGTCTCCCTTTGCTGTCTCCTTCTGTCTCCCTTTGCTGTCTCCTGTCTCCTTTGGCTGTCTCCTGTCTCTCTTTGTTGTCTCCTTTTGTCTCTATTTGTTTTTCTACTGTCTCCTTTTGCTGTCTCCTTTCTCTCTTTTTGCTGTCCCCTTTCTGTCTGCTTCTGTCTCCTTTAGGGGTCTCTTTTTGTCTCTATTTATCTTCTTCTGTCTTCTTTCGCTGTCTCCTTTCTCTCGTTTTGCTGTCTCCTTTCTCTCTCTTCTTTCTGTCTCCTTTCTGTCTCCTCTCTGTCTCTTTTTGCTGTCTCCTCCTGTCTCCTTTTGGTGTCTCCTTTCGTCTCTATTTATCTTCTTTTGTCTCTTTCTGCTGTCTTCTCGCTGTCTCCTGTCCCTCTCTTTTTGCTGCTTCCTCTCTGTCTCCTGCTGTCTCCTTTTGCTGTCTCTTTCCGCCTCCTTTGGGTGTCTCTTTTTGTCTCTGTTTGTCTTCTTCTGTCTCCTTTTGCTGTCTCCTTCTGTCTCTTTCTTTTGCTGCTGCTGCACCCTTCTGTTTTTTCTTTTGTTTCTTTTTTTGTTTTTATTGTTGGCGCCTCCTCCTGCTGCAACTGGTGCTGCTGCTACTGGTGCTGCTGCTGCTGCTGCTGCTGCTGCTGCTGCTGCTGCTGCTGCTGCTGCTGGTACTGCCGCTGCTGCTCCTCCTCCTACTACTCCTGCTACTTTTGCTACTGCTGCTGCTGCTGTTGCTGCTGCTGCTGCTGCTGCTGCAGCACTTTGGGGAGGAGTTTCGGGGTGTCTGCGCGACTGAGTGCGACAACTGCACGCGAAGCAGAAATATAAAACCTTCTGTTGTTTGCTGCTCTCAACTGGCAGCAGAGGTGGGGCCTCATTCTTTTTATTATTTATCTGTCTCCTCTTATTATTCATCTGTCTCCTCCTATTGTTTATCTGTTTCCTTTTATCTGTCTCCTTTTATTATTTTTCTCTCTCCCTTTTATTCTGTCTCCTCATTATCTGTCTCTTTTTATTATTTATCTGTCTCTTCTTGTTATTTATCTGTCTCCTTTTATTATTTATCTGTCTCTTTTTGTTATTTATCTGTCTCTTCTTGTTATTTATCTCTCTCCTTTATTATTTATCTGTCTCCTTTTATTATCATTTGTCTCCTTTTTTATCTGTCTCCTTTTTATCTGTCTCCTTTTGTTATTTATCTGTCCCTAGCAGTGCATGCATGCACATTAGGGTGCCTCCTCATGTATAAATAGACATATAAATAAATAAATAAATAAATAAATAAATAAATAAATAATGAATGAATGTATTTCTTTTTCTTTCTTTCTTTCTTTGTCTCCCTTTGAATTATAATTTATCTGTCTCCTTTGATTAAAATTTATCTGTCTCTTTTTGAGTGTAGGTAGCAGCACTTGTGCGCGGTGTATATGCTGTCTCTCCGAAGTATGCACTTACTTTAGCTGCTCTTCGTGAAGCAGTGTTAGGAAGAAGAGGGAAGCAAAATAAACAAAGACGAGAAAAAGAAAAAGATATTCTTCTTAGCCAGCCCCATTTCGGGTGTCTTCAAAGAGCTAATTGGACGCATGCAGGGGCTTGTCGTCTGCTGCATGCATTAATTATTCATCAGGTCTGTCTCTTTATTTTTACTTTTTTTATTTTCAATCCTCCTGTCTGTCTCTTCCTTGTATATATGCTTATTTATGTCTTTCTTCTGTCTCCTTTTATGTAAATGTTTGTATATTTTCTTCTGTCTCCTTTTCTCTCTCCTTCATAAATATAAATATATATATATATATATATTTCTGTATATTTTCTGTCTCATTTATGTATATTTATATATATCTGTCTCCTGTCTCCTTTTCTGTCTCCTATTCTGTCTCCTTTATATATATTTACATTTAATTTCTTCTGTCTCCTTTATATATATATATGTATATATATATATATATATATAGATCTTCTGTCTCCTTTTCTGTCTCCTTTCGTATCCGCTATATATATATAGTTATCAACGTATGTATATTTATTTATATATTTATTTATATATTTATTTATACATTTATTTATATATTCATATATATATTTAAATATATCTTTAATTTGCTCTGTCTCCTTTTGCACGTACAGGTTTTGCGAGAGCGCTGCGTCCCTTCACCGACTTCTCCGGGTTCATTTACAGCATTTTTAGAGTTAGGTTTGCGAGCAGAGTTTGTATCAACAAGCGTAAATAAATTAGTATTTGAAGTGTCTCCTTTCTTATCTGTCTCCTCATCTAAACGCAACACAAAGACAAACCCCAAAAATAATTCAACACTCGCTTCTGTCTCTTCTTCTTCTTCTTCTTCGTCTTCTTCTTCTGCTTCTTCTTCTTCTTCTTCTTCTTCTTCTTCATCATCATCATCATCTTCTTCTTCATTAAACCCTGCAAATAAAAAAATTAAACTAAAACATACTCCGTCATCACCTGGGGGCCCCTCGGGGGGAACCTTTAGTGGGGCCCCCATAGGGCCCCCAACAGGAGGAGGGGGGCCCCCAGGGGGCCCCTTAGGGGGGGCCCCAGGGTTATCAGAGTGTAGGGGTTTGAGTGTAGGATTAGAAAATAGTTTAAGAGCAAGGCTGATGAAGGTTAGAGAGGAGTTGGCGAAGAAAATGAGCCTAAAAACTACTAAGTCTATTGCTACAAATGCATCTATTTATGCGATCGCAAAAGCATTACCCTCTTCAGTTGCGCAGCTTCAAAAACTACCCTTCAAAGAACTACACGGAGATAAAAAGGTAAATCTTCTAAGGTTTAGGGTTTAGGGTTTAGGGTTTAGGGTTTAGGGTTTGGGGGTAAGGGTTTAGGGTTTGGGGGTTAGGGTTTAGGGGTTAGGGTTTAGGGTTTAGGGTTTAGGCCTTAGGGGTCAGGGGTAAGGGTTTAGGGTTTAGTGTTTAGGGTTTAGGGTTTAGGGTTTGGGGGTTAGGGTTTAGGGTTTAGGGTTTAGGGTTTAGGGTTTAGGGTTTGGCTTTGTTTTTCAGGGGCAGAAGTACGGACAAGTGTTCGTGGCGGAAGTGCGGGCGTTTCTATGCGAGAACCGCTTGACTCATTTATTGAGGGGTAAGGGTTTAGGGTTTAGGGTTTAGGGTTTAGGGTTGAAGGTTTGCAGTTTAGGGTTTAGGGTTTAGGGTTTAGGGGTTTCAATACCCTTCCTGTCTCGTAAGAAATGCTTTTCGTTCCCCCGACAGCCCCAACCCTCCACTGTTCTTCTGTGGGGCTTCGGTAGGGTTTAGGGTTTAGGGTTTAGGGTTTAGGGTTTGCTTCTTGTTCACAGAAGACACCCGTGCGAGCCCACCTCCAGGTGTATCTTCTTCTGCATGTGTCCCTTCACCTGATGAGGGTCCAGAAGAATTTATATCGGTAGGGGGCCCCCAGGGAGGCCCCCCTGGGGGCCCCCCATTAGACGTTACAGATGCATGCATATCTCAAAGTATGTACTTCCGTAGTAGCGGCTCTTCTTCTCTTTCAGGGTTTAGGGGGCCCCCACAGACAAGCCTGCCTCCTCCTGGGGGTGTTGCTGGGTTGCAGACATCAGGGTACTGGCAGCAGGACATTAAGGGACCCCCAGGGGCCCCCTGGGGGGCCCCAGGGGGGCCCCCAAGGGGCCCCCCAGGAGGAGCCACAGGGGGCCCCCCAGGAGGAGCCACAGGGGGGCCCCCTGGGGGCCCCGTAGGAGGAACACCAGGGGGGCCCCCTGGGGGGCCCCCAGGGGGGGCCCCTCCTCCAGATCCTCAGATGTGGGGTCCTGAAGACCTTGACTGCCTCGATAGTTTTTGAGTTTTGTTTGTTTGAACTCTGCTATAGAAGGATATTTATTTTATTTATTTTAGGGCGGGGGTTTTCTTTTTGATGCTTTGTAAATATAAAGAAACGCAAAGGCGTAGACTCTCAAAATGATTTCTATTAGATATATATATATATATATATATATATATATGTATGCAATGTTTATATCCATTTATATGTACAGATCTAAAATTATATATGTATATATATACATATATATACATATATATATTTATATATATATTTGTATATATATGTTTATATATATAGAAAAACATATATATATATATATATATATATGTTTTTCTATGTGTCTAATATACACGTAGATGTATGTATACGTACACAGGTATAGATCTATAGATGTAAATGTATATAAAGGCCTACACAATATATATATTCATATGCTCTTCTATAAATATATATAATATACTTATAATATACATAATATATAATTATATAAATAATAAACATATATATGAATATATTTATAATGGGGGCCCCCTGGGGAGGGGCCCCCAGGCATCGAGGTGAGTGACCGGGGCTGTGGTAGCAGCTGTTTATTATTTTCTTTGCTTTTTATACTAAAATAATTTGAAATAAATGCAAATAAACAATTAAATATATTATTTATTTTATTTATACCTTTTATTTTATTGTTTATACAGCAGAAATTATCCGGCCATCCTCGCTCTACTCAGCGCAGCTGCTCTCCACTTCATTCAAAGTTTGTTTTTTTAGCTTTTTCTTTAGAAATATATTTTAATTTAATTTAATATAAAAATAATGGTTTAATCATATTTTGTTTTAAACGTATTTCGGGTTGTTTTCTACCCCGACTCCCCCCTCCTCGCCTGTTACAATCATTGAAGCCATCCAGGGTTTAGGGTTTAGGGTTTAGGGTTTAGGGTTTGCGGGGTAAGCCATGAGTTTCTTTAGGGGCCTCGGGCTCCGGCGACCCCTTCAAGAGCTGCCGCCGCCTGTGGGATTAGCTCGCCGCAGCAGCAGCAGCAGCATCAGCAGCAGCAGCAGCACCAGCAGCAGGTTCCTCCCCGGCGCTGCAGTGTCTCTTCATCCCCCCTTTCTAGAGCATACAGGGGCCCCTTCAGCAGCTTTAAAGAGTGTTGTGGTTTGCTTCTTCGGTGTTGTTGCTGCTGTTTTCCTGCTGCTGCGGGTGCTGCTGCTCTGCCGAGGCCTCTAAATCCTAAACCCTAAACCCTAAACCTTAACTCCTAAACCCTAAACCGCCGCTTATTGAGGACTTCGACAGAGAAGAAGACAAACAAAACGCAGCAAATCCCTCACTGGAGAAAAAAGAAGACAAGAGGAGACAGAAAGAAATAAGCAGATACAAAAAGAGACAGAAAAGAATAAAGAGACAGATAAGAAGATGCATAAGGAGACAAATAAAAAGCGAAAAAACAAAAAGAAGAGACAGAAAGAGACAGATAAAAAGCGTGAAAGGGAGACAAAAGGAGACACAAGGAGATATTAAAGAAAAGAGACAGCAAGAATAAATGCTTAAGAGTAATACAACGACCCATACTTTGTCTGAAGGGCAGCATAGCTAGCCACCAGCTAGCTAGCCACCAGCTAGCTAGCCACCAGCTAGCTAGCCACCAGCTAGCCAGCCACCAGCTAGCTAGCCACCAGCTAGCTATCCACAAGCTAGCTAGCCGCCGGCTAGCTAGCTGGGGAGCGGCCAGCCAGGGTGGAACCCAATACCTGCTTAGTCCAGCCCCAAATGCATGCAGCAGCACTTTGTCTTTGATTTTTGCTGCTGCTGCTGTTTCTTCTGCCTCTGCGGCAAAAGGAGAAGAAACGCAGCCAGGGAGAAAATGAAGATGTTTGTCCTGTCTTTTCTTTCTTTTCTATCTAATCTATTCTAGACAAAAGAAGCCCCATCAGCAATTAAATGCCTTAGAGATGCTGCATGCAGCTGCCGATGCATGCAGAGTAATACAACAACAGCAACAGCCCTATTAACAACCACAAACTCTACGTTCTGCTTCTTTATGTAACTTAGGGGCCCCTCTGCTTCAACTTGCTTGCAAAGCAGCTTGCATGCATGCATGCATGCATGCATGGACAGACAAACAGCAGCAGCAGTAGAAGCAGCAGCACAACGCCAATTGTTCGAATTCCCTCTTACGGAGGTAAAAGAGTCAGATAAAATGCAGCAGCAGCAGCAGCACCAGCAGATATTCACATAAATGTACGTAGTATGCATGCGTGTATGCATGCATGAGCTGTGGAGTATGTAGAGGCCTCTTGCTGCTTTTCTATTTGTCGCTCTCCTTTGGTTATTTTTTGTTCTTTGTGCTTCTCTGCCCCCATCTCTGGTATTTCTTCTCGTTTTATCGGAGTTTTCAGCCTCTTAGAAGGGGAAGAAAACCCCCTAATGCTGCTGCATGCAGCTGTGTGTAAGCAAAGAACAGGTGAGAGAACATTCAATTAACTGCTGCTTCCTTACATAACGGGAGTAGCAGAAAGAATAGCACAAGGCGCTTCGAATAGAGTATGAAGAGGAGTTTACTCAAGTATATATACCGCAAAATATATCTATTCACTCGAATTAAAGATAAAAAACGACAAGAAATGCAGAAATCTCTTTTGCAGGTAGAGGCGTGCAGCTACCGCAGAGCCGAACAAACCTTTTCCTCGAGTCTATAGCAGCTCCGGGGATATACTTTTGATATTTTTGAATACAAATATTGACTTTATGTTGAAATATTATTAAAATTAATGCAAAGCAGATGAAAAGAAGACAGCCTTACCAACCTGCATGTGCATTGCAAAGAAAGACCTGTTACCGGACCGCTGGCAGCGGCTACCCTTCGACAGTTTGTCTGTCTTTCTTGAGTTCTCGGGTCTTCTTTGAGCGTAATTTGAGGGTTTTTCGTTTTAATTTAATAAAAACGTCAGGAAAAAGGGAGTAATCGGGGAAACGCTTCATGAATAAGAGAAAATGAGAGAAATATTCAACCAAAGGGTGTTCATCGCCTTGTGCGGTGAGGAAACCGGGTCACTCAGTAGGAATTCAGAGCCAACAATGGAAAGCTTTGCAGAAATATTTCAAAATGAAAAGGTTTAAACTATTATAAACATATTTTTATTCAAATTTCATGAACAAATTCCACATTTCGCTGCACAGACGCCTGAGGAACACCGCGAGCATACGAAAAATTATGCAGATCGCCTTGCCTGGTGTTGATTACTCCCCCTCTTTCATGACTATATTGAATTTTAAGCATTTGTCTCTGTATTTATGCTTTTATTTAGCTATTTATTGCCTCTTTCTCCCCAATTTCCACTGTTTTCCACACGCGGTGTGCCCCGCGTTATGCTGCGAAACTGCAGGCGACAAAGCAGGACCAGAACCGCTCCAGTCAACCGCCACCAAAGATGTGATGGAGGGAAGGGGAACTTTTTTGCCTCATCTCTCATTGCTTGGGGCTGTTCAGTCGCGCCAACTTGGGGAGTTTCTAGACGGAAAAGGTAGGCCATTTCGGGTCCTTGCACAGCACAAGTTGTTTCACAAGATTCAAAAGCTCCACAAGTTGTTTACAGAGCTTCGGATTTTCTCTGAAACACTAAGAAAAAGTTCAAAAAAGGTTTCAGAGAAAGTTTCAAAGATTTCAGGAGTTGTTCAGGAAGTTTCAGAGGTTTCAGAACCTCTGTAGGGAGTTTAGAAAATTTCAAGTTTCAGAAGATGCACAAGTAGTTTTGAAGGATTCGGAATTTGTTTAAGAAGGTTCAGAGGTTTCAAACGTGGTTCAAGAAATCTAAAAGATTTACAAAGTTGTTAAAGTAACTGTTAAAGAAGGTCCAGAGGTTTCAGAGCCCCTCTGAAAATTTCGTAAATTTTCAACAAGTGTCTGAGAAGTTTACGATACAGAAAATTTGTTTTTGCAGTTTTGAAAGTTGAATCTGAAATCTCATAATTTCAAAAAGAGTCAAAAGTTTCAAAGTTCTTTACAGAATTTATTTAAAGAGCTAAAAACATATTTCAGAACTTTTCGTGAAAAGTTCGAAAAGTTTTCAACGTGTATTTTGAAATTTTTGAATTTTGTACATTTTCGCTGTATGCATGCATTTACGCATCCATGCATGCATGCATGCATGCTTGGGGTGATGGGGCTGTTTATTTTTCTGTGTTTTGTTTGCAGGCATTTCCCGCCTCGTCAGTTCTGACAAGCCTCAAGCCCTTGAATGCGCCATTTTAGCTCGGCAGCAGTTATTGAGTGGAGGTCAGTTGATGCGGTTGTCTCAGTTGCAGCAGCATTCAAGTGTATCTGCAGCTCGTGGTTTGCCTTCGATTGAAGAGGAACAAGAACTGCAAGTTGATCCATCTATTCACGTCGCCAATACAGCAGCAGCAGCAACAGCAGCAGATCTTCACCTCAAGGACGAAGGGCGCAGCGGCTCCGCCGGTACTGCAGAGACTCGATCCACCCGATCCCCGATGGCATCTCCCGATCCCATTCCCGATCCCAGCGTCTTAGGGGAAGACGAGATAGGGTGGGGCGCTTCTCCTCTGAAGAAAGCAGGTGTATTCAACAGAGCTTTTGATTCTCTTAGAGGTCTCTATAACATTCTCAACTTCGGGGCCTCCTGCTCTGATCTTCTGCACGGCTGCCACCTCTATAAAGCGAGTCAAAGCTGTAGCCCTTCGGGTTTTTTTAGCGAAGAGGTGAGCAGGCAGACAGACCCCAACCGTAAACCCTAAACCCTAATCCCTAAACCCTAAACCCTAAACCCAACAGGCATGCGAAACCGTGAAGCTGCCTCAGCAGCTGCTGCATCTAACGCCCCTTCTATAACCAGACGCACGTACAGACACTGCAGCACAAAATATAAGAAAACTCCAATGCTGCTACTGCTAATACAGCGGCCACTGCTACTGCTGCTGCTGCTGTTGCTGTTGTTGTTGCTGTTGCTGCTGCTGCTACCAGGCAATGCAGCAGGTTGTAAAGACAGTGCAGCGGGACGACTTGGCGGTGATTTGTGGTTCTGTAGAGGAGTTGAACAGCTGCTTGAAGGCTGTAGAAGAGCTGCGAGCAGAAAACAGAGAAGGACAGGAACTGCAGCAGCTACCTGCTGCTAAGAATGTGGGGGGAAAGGGAGCGTTCTTCACCTTCTTAACTAACTGGCTGGCTTCCTGCACCCTCCCGGGATCGGGATCGGGATCGGGATCAGGATCGGGATCGGGATCGGGATCGGATCCCAAGCCTCCTCCAGGCAGCGTGTGGGAGGTGCTGCTGCAGCGAGATGCGCAGACACTGGCGATCGTCGGGGCCCAGGTCGTGACTCAGGCTAAGACAGACTACTTAAGCCGCGCATGCACTCTCAGGTACATCCCTGCTGCTGAGATGTTGCTGCTGGTGTTGTTGCTGTTGTAGTGCTGCTACTGATGCTGCGGTGCTACAGCTACTGCTGCTTTTGGTGGGGTGCTGCTGCTGCTGCTGCTGCTGTTGCGGTGCTGCTGCTGCTACATTGCTTCTGGGTTGGGGCCTGTTGCTGCACTTGGTTTTTATTTGCCTTTTTATGCTGCACGGAAGATGCCTTTGTTTGCATGCAAAGAGGAGCGAGCTGCCTGTACACTGCAGGTGCAGCAGCCGCACAGCAAGGAGAAAACCGCAGCAGCACGAGCTGCAGCACCGCTGCTGCTGTTGCTGCAAGTGGTATTTATGCTGCAGGATGCAGGAACCGAAAGAACAGGAAGAAGCAAAGGAGACCTCATGCACAGCTAGCCAGCGTCTGGAGTGGGACTTTGCTTCCCTGGCAGTAAGTGCATGCATGCATGCATGCATGCATGCAGTGCATGCATGCATGCATACATGCAGCTACCAGTGCTGCAGCAAGCATGCAGTTGCAGCTGCTACAGTTTCATTGTTGCTGCTGTTGCTGCGGCTTGTATTTGTAAGCTGTATTTCGGACGCTGTTACTGCTGTTTATATGCTGCTGTAACTCTGCTGCCGCTTTTTGTCCTGTGCTGCTGCTGTTTGCTGCTGCTGCTGCTGCTGCTGCTGTTTCTGTTTGCTGCTGCGTGCATGCAGGACAGCGACGGGCGTGTAGCTTTAGAAGAAGCTGCAGTGTTAGGTGCGGTGTACGGGGCTGTACCTACTAAAGGAGATCTGCAGCAGTGGAGACAGCAAAGAGGAAGTAAGCTGTCTCTTCAAGATCTGCAGACATTTATTGCTCTCTTCAACGGCAGCAATGATGATATCGCAGTGCTCGCTGCCCCCTTCGCCAGGTTTGATAAAGAGGTGAAGCACCTTCAAACAAGGAGAAGCAGTAGCAGCAGCAGCAGCAGCACAAGCAGCGGTAGCAGCAGCAGCAGCAGAAGTGGCACAAGTAGCAGCAGCAACGGAAGTAGCAGCAGCAGCAGAAGTAGCAGCAGCAGCAGAAAAAGCAGCAGCAGGTAGCTGAAGTAGCAGAGCAGCAAAAGAAAAAGGATTATGCCGCTTGCCTTTTTCTATAGCATGCAACCGTTCATGCTGCATAGCATGCATGCATGCATGCATGTTATATATGCATGCAATGCATGCATGTTATATATATATATATATATATATGTATATATGCATGCATGCATGGGGCGTCTGTGAGCAGAAGACAGGAAAGATTAGCAAATTGATGTTTCTCGCGCTCTTGGGGCTGGCGGGTGAAAATGAAGCCGCCACTGACGAACAAATCTCTACTCTGTTCAGGTCTCCTGCTGCTGCTGCTGCTGCTGTTGGATGCTGCTGCTGCTGTTGGCTGCTGCTGCTGCTGTTGGCTGCTGCTGCTGTTGTTGGGTGCTGCTGCTGCTGCAGCTATTAGTGCGGTTGTTCTTGGTGCTGGTGTTGGTGCTATTGCTGTTGCTGCTGTTGTTGCTGCTGCATTTGTTGGTGGTGAGGGTCTTCTGCAGCAGCAGCAGCAGCAGCCGCAGCAGATTTATTTTTGCTGGTGCGTTTGCTGCAGGCTCTACGGTCTCCCCTTCAAAGACACAGTCAACTACCTCGAGTTTATATCTCGGTACTGTCGCTGCAGCACCACCTCCCCTCAAAAACGCATGCATGCATGCATGCATGCATGCACTCTTATCTGCAAGAAAGCACGATGCATGCAAAACTTATAATGCATACCTGGATGCAAGTATGGGTATATGCATGCACCCACGCCTGCATGCATCCATCCCCTCATGCCTGCATGCATGCATGCATACATACAAGCATATTTGCATGCATGCATATCCGTATGCATGCATGCAAATATGCATGCATGCATGCATGCGTTTTTGTTATTATGCAGGGTGACGGCGGGTTGCAATGTATTAGAGTTGGCTGGGGTATGCGAGGACCGCGTATGTTGCAGTGTACGCCCACATAGTGAAGAGGAAACGCAGCAGCAGCAGGAGCAGCAGCAGGAGCAGCAGCAGCAGGACCAACAGCAGCAGGAGCAGCAGCAGCAGCAGGAGCAGCAGCAGGCTTTTATTAGTATACCCCATCAGAGGAGGTTATATCGCTCTTGGTCTTGTAAAGAAACGCTTCAGAATTTCTTAGCTGTGTCTTCGTCTCTGCAAGCCTTTACCCCCTCTACCTCCAGTGCTGCAGCGCCTCCTAAGCCCGAAGAAACCCTTAAAATTAAACCCGGGGCCTCGGGCTCTCTCAAGCCCCAAGAAGTCCTTCAATTCCTTCAGAATGAGGTAATCATGCATGCATGCATGCATGCATGCATAGAGAGTATCTTTGCATGCATGCAAGTATGTATCTTTGCATGCATGTAAAGATACATCCATGGATGCATGCAGCGGGGCTACTGCTCTCGCCGGCGCAGCCCCAAAGATGCATGCACATCATATATGTATGCGTGCATGCATGCATACATGCATGGTTTGCATGCAGCTGTCTGTGTGCATGCCCCACAACAGCTACATGCATTGTTTGCTATCCTCCTGCTCTGTTGCTGCTTGCTGCTTTGCTGCTTTGGGGTTGGTTTGAATTCGGCGCATGCAGCGCATGCAGTCATTTGGGGCTGCGTGCGTTGCATGAGTTTGTGGGGTGCTGCGCTGCTGCATGCAGGGCGTTGAGGGGCTGCTGCTAGAAGACATCAATGCTTTCTTTGACGAAGTTCCTGCTGCTGTTGCTGGGCTCGATGAAGCCCTGCTGTCGGCGCTGCAGCACTTCGTTCAGTTCAGGCATAGCCGCTTTGCCGAAGCAACAGTGAGCAGCAGCAGCAGCACTAGCAGCAGCAGCAGCAGCAGCAACAGCAGCAGCAGCAACAGCAGCAGCAGTAGCAGAACCAGCAGCAGCAGCAGCAACAGCACCAGCAGCAGCGAAAGCAGCAGCAAAAGCAGAGGCAGCAAAAGCAGCAGCAGCAGCATAGCCAGAAGCACAAGCATCAGCAGCAGCAGAAACGCGGAGCAGCAGCAGAAGCAGCAGCTGTTACAGCAGCAACCTTTGGTGGTGTTTGTTTTGTTGTTTGTTTGCTGGCTTCTGCCCCGCTAAATGTATTTATATTTAAATGCATTTATATTTATATTTGCTGCGGTTTTTATTTTTATAGAACGGCTTGGGCTGGCTGCACATCAACGACGCCGCAGGCCTATTCGAAGACTTCGTACGTTCAGCTGCTGCTGCTGCTGCTATCTGCTGCTGCTGCTATCTGCTGCTGCTGCTGCTGCTGCTGCTCCCTGCTGCTGCTACCTGTTTCTATCTGTTGCTGCGGCCTCCTGCTGCATCTGTCTGCTGCTGCTGCTGCTGCTGTCTGCTGCTGCTGCTACTACTACTATTCCTGCTACTACTACAACTACTGCTGCCACTGCTGCTGCTGCTGCTGTTGCTGCTGTTGCTGCTGTTGCTGCTGCTGCTGCAGGGTTTTGAAGAGCTGCCTCTGAGTTTGGAGTGCCGGCAGTATCAGCGATTTGCGGGGACTGCGCAGCTAAACTATCAGCAATTTCTTGCGTTCGGCAGTTTTGTTTCAGAGAGGAGACAGCAGTTTAAAGCAGCAGCAGTGAGGCTTGTCAGTCTCTTCACTGTCTCTTGCTGCGCTGCAGTCTATGGGTTGCTTGCTGCTGGGCTGCAGCAGCAGCAACAGCAGCTGCAGCTGCAGAAACCTCCTCGTTGCTGCTCGCTTGCTGCACAGTGCTGCTGTGCTGCTGTTTGTCTCCAGCTGCTGTCTGTCTCCTGCTGCTATCTGTCTCTTGCTGCTGCTGCGGAAGCAAACAAACCAAGCTGCCGGCTCCTCCTCAACTGATGCATGATGCTGCTGCTGCTGCTGCTGTCTGTCTCCTGCTGCTGCTACTGCTGCTGCTGCTGTCTGTCTGTTTCCTCCTGCTGCTGCTGCTGCTGCTGCTGTGTGTCTCCTGCTGCTTCTGCTGCTGCAGAAGAAAACAAACGAAGAGACACTTAAAGTAGAATTTCATCAGGGTGTTGCACTGGCCCGCCTTTGGGGCTTCACACCAACTGAAGCGGAGATTGCATGCATGCAGCAGCACCTCCAAGAGCAACAGCAGCAGCAGCAGCAACAACAACAGCAGCAGCAGCAGCAGCAGATGTACGTGAGTTATGAAGAATTGCTGCAATTAATTGCTGCTATTCCTCATAAAGAAGACAGACCCGAAGAGTTGACGCTGCTGTTTAAGCACTTCGACATGCAAGTAAGAGTCTCCTTTTTATATCTTTTACTGTCTCCCTTTATATCTTTTGCTGTCTCCTTTACTCTCTTTTAGCCTCCTTTCTCTTCTTATCTCAGCTGTACATAATCAGCAGCAGCAGCAGCAGCAGCATCCCGCAGAAGCAGCAGCACTCCGCAGCAGCAGCCGCAGCAGCAAGTTGCAGCAGCAGCAGCAGCAACTTGGAGCAGTCGCAGGAGCACGTTGCAGCAGCAGCAGCAGCAGCAGCAGCAGAAGTGTGGGGTGTGTGTTGGTGTATGTTTAGGATCGGGGATCGCTCCCTGCTGCTGTTCTCTCTCATTTGCTGCAAACATTTGGAGAGCCGCTTAAAGAGACAGAAATTAACGCCTTCTTCAAGTATATTCACTTGCTGCTGCTGCTGCTGCTGCTGCTGCTGCTGCTGATGCTTTTGCTGCTGTTGGTGCTGCTGCCGATGCTGATGTTGGTGGTGCTGCTGCTGATAGTGATGCTGCTGCTGCTGCTGATGTTATTGTTGCTGCTACTGCTGGTGATTTCTGCTGCTGCTGGTGTTGTTGCTGTTGCTGCTGTTGGTGATGTTGCTGCTGCTGCTGCTGCAGCATAGACAGGTAAACAGAGACAGCAAACACCAACAAGAAGGAGACCTTCTTCTTATTTTTATTTTTATTTTTATTTTTATTTTTATTGTTTTGTTTGCAGAGCCCTCAGCATCGGCCCTACCGACCGAATCTCTTATAAACAATTTGTTGAGGCAGCGATTGCCTCTTAAACAAAGACGTTTCTTCTGTCTCTCTTTGTTTGTTTGTTTGTTTGTTTGTTTCTCTGTCTGTATTTATCTGTCTCCTCTTCTGTCTCTGTCTCCTCTTCTGTCTCTGTCTCCTCTTCTGTCTCTGTCTCCATCCCTCTGTCTCTGTCTCTGTCTCTGTCTGTCTCTGTCTCTGTCTCTGTCTCTGTCTCTATCTGTCTCTGTCTTTATTTCTTTATTTATCTGTCTCCCTATCTATCTTTATGCATGTCTCTGTCTCTGTCTCTTTATTTATTTGTGTCTCCTTTTGTTTATAGTTATTTTCTTTATCTCTGTCTCTTCTCTCTTCATATGCAGAAACCCTAAACCCTAAACCCTAACCCAAGGCAGCTAAGCCCCAAACCCTAAACCCTAATCCCTAAACCCTACTCCCTAACCCCAGTCCGCTAAACCCTAAACCCTAAACCCTAAACCCTAAACCCTAAACCCTAAATATGGGGGTTCATTATTTGCACCCCCCTCTTCCTTTCTGCCCTGGAGGCAGCGAGGAGACAAATAAAATAAATATTTCAGGTGTATGCACAGACAAAACAACAAAAAATATAATCATGCAAACCTCAGATATTATAAACCCAACTCGTTACCCCACAAATGCATTCGCGGCACAAGCAGGGTTTAGGGTTTAGGGTTTAGGGTTTAGGGTTTACCGTTTAGGGTGTAAGGGGTAGCATTCACCGTTTAGTGTTTAGTGTTTAGGGTTCACGGTTTAGGAGTTAGGGTTTAGTGTTTAGGGTTTAGTGTTTTAGTGTTTAGGGTTTAGGGTTTAGGGTTTAGGGTTTAGGGTCTAAGGTCTATGACTCTTTGGCTTCAGCACCGTCTTTCTTAAAGAGTATTTGATATAAGCATTGAGGGTTTTCTTCTAAACAAACAGAGATATATACAAACAGGAGCATATACACCCTAACGAACTAAGAAAAATATATATAAAGACAAGAGGTAGAGGCTGGTGTATATACACCGCAATGAAGCAAAAGAAAATAGTTAAAATATTATAAATGTTTAAAATGAAGTATTTACCTTTTAAATAATTGATTTAAATGAATTTAAAAATATTTATATGGTGACGGGTCTGGGGTGTATGCGCAGACAGATCCTAAACCCTAAACCCTAAACCCTAAACCCTAAGGCCTAAAGCTAGCTTGCCTGTATCATTTATCCGTTTATTAAAAGTATTTTTTTAATTGATTTATTTAAACAATTTAATTTTAATAGTTGAATTTAAATTATTTTTCTTTCTTTTTTATTTATTGTCTACAGACAGACAGACAGCAGAGGGCCCTAAGGCAGCAGCAGCACTGCAGCAGAGAGCCCTGTGCTGCAACTTATTTTGTGTAGTTGTTTATTTAAATAAAAGGAGAAGAATAGAGTTTATTTGATTTATAATAATTATTAAATATTCTTTTCGTCCTTTTCGTTCTGCTGCAGCTCTCTTTCGGTGCTGCTGCTGCTGTTGCTGCTGCTGCTGCTGCTGCAGTTGCTGCAGCAGCATCCGCGTTTTTTTCGCTAATTTGTTTGTTTTTCTTTTGCAATTTAAAAGAATATAATTAAACAATGTCCGCAGAAGAGGATCAAGATGAGTTGGCTGCATTAGAAGCCTCACCGCCCTCCTCCCCTGTAGAGGGAGAGCCTGGTGTACCCCAGGGCCCAGCAGCAGCAGCAGCAGCAGCAGCAGCAGCAGCAGGAAAGGATGGGAGGGCTTCTAGGCTGCAGCAGCAACGAAGCGAATGGTATGCAGCACAGCAGAGAGCTCGAGCAGTGCCCGCTGTCTCCGTCGCCCCTCTCTTTGTCTCCGGGGGAGCTCTGCATTCAACCAGCACGAAGAATAAGCAGGTGCTGCTACCTCCAAGCTTATCATCAACTCATCCACCCCACAGTGGGCCTTCATCTGGGGCATCTACATCCGCAAGTCCTGCTGCTCCAGCAGTAGCAGCAGCAGCAGCAGGTGCAGCACCAACAGCAGCAGCAGCAGCTGCAGCAGCAGCAGCAGCAGCAGGGAATGTAGGTGTGAAAGGGGTTCATTCGTCAGGGGCCCCTGGAGGGTCTCCTGGTGCCCCTTCAACTGCTGGAGCTGCTGCAGCAGGAGGAGGAGGCGGTGGTGCTGTAGGTAGAGGAGCAGCAGGTGCAGCAGCAGGAGCAGCAGCAGCAGCAGGAGCAGCAGCAGCAGCAGGAGAAGAAGAGTTTGGAGTGTCTCCGCTACCCCCAGACGCCCGTATATGCAGTCGGCCTGTAGTAGACTTTACTCACTTGGCTATACAGAAGGAGGGGGATGTTTTATTTGTTTTATGTTTGCCTCTGATAATGAAGAAGTTAAATAAAGATAGATTAATATTAGGCAGAGGAGACAGCGCAGACATCCATACAGACCATCCTAGCTGCTCGCGCATGCATTGCTGCATTCAGAGAAATGCAGCCCCAGATGGGAGCTGCATATACACCCTAGAAGATTTAAATAGTGTGCACGGGACTCTTCTTAACGGAGGTAAAATTGCACCAGGCAAGCCAACAGCTTTAGATGTTGATGATGAGATACAGCTGGGGTTCTCTCAGCGTTTGTATACATTTAAAAAGGGGGCTGACAGGCTCAGTATACAAAGAGAAGAGAACAATACTCCTGCTGCTGCTGCTGCTGCTGCTGCTGCTGCTGCTGCTGCTGCTGCTGGAGATGCGGCTGCAGAAACATCTCCGTCGGGGGCCCCCTCTTCGTTTCTACAGAAACATTTAGAGAGAAGAGCAAGGATGGGAGGGGGCCCCTATAGGGGTAGAGGAGGGGGGCCCCCCTTTGGTCGTAGGGGGCCCCCGCCAGCAGCAGGAGGAGGTAATGAAGAGCGCGGGTTTAATGATGCATCTGGGGGCCCTTCTTCTTTTTCTTATAACAGAGATAAGTGGATGGGAGATAACAGAGACAGCAGCAACAGCAGCAGCTGGTCTCCTGCTGCAGCATCAGGGGGCCCCTTTAGAAGAGACAAAATCGGTGGGGGAGGGAGCAGAAGAAATACGCCTTACTCAGCAACAGGAACAAACACAACACCTCTTGGGGGCCCCTTCACCTCCACCCCTTATGGGGGCCCTGAAGGAAACTGGGGGCCCCCCCAGGGGCCCCCAGGTACCCATGATGAGGGTTGGGGGGCCCCAGGGGCCCGTCAGAGAGGGTGGGGGGCCCCCCAGGGGCCCTCAGGGGCCCATGATGAGAGCTGGGGGCCCCCAGGGGGGCCCCAAGGGGCCCGTCAGAGAGGGTGGGGGGGCCCCCAGGGGGCCCCAGGGGCCCATGACGGGGGTTGGGGGCCGCCTGGGGGGCCCCCTGGGGCTCA